TAAGAACCGAATGAGCCGTGGCGAAGTTTGCTAAGGATTACCGAAGATTCTGATAAGTGAGTTGACGATACTGTGCAAGCCTGAGTTGTTAGAAAAGAAATGCGTAGAGACATTTTAGCTTGATGATGTCAGGAACCGATGAATTGGCTTTTTGAACCGGTTCAATGAGCTGATCTGTCCGAAAAGAATCGGTTCGCGGAAATGAATAGATGCTATTTACACTAAGTGCAAATAGCGATGGATGCTATTTGAACTATGTAACGATAGTCCACTGAGGCAAGTGTAATGATAAACCCAAGTGCAGCTTTTATTTAACAAAGTGAAATCCAAAAAAACAAACAAAGACTTGACTTGACTTGATCGGACTTGACTTGGCATGAACAAACTAGACTCACCGACAGCAGGTTACAACATCAATACACGACAAGAGACAAAGGCTACATGAGGGCTATAGCTGCATCCCAATTCAAAGATTGCATCCTTCGGAGGACGGGTCCTTCAAAGGATGGGGCCAACACAGCATGTCATTCAAACCGGAAACCGTGGCAAAACGTACACCGGTTTGAGCTTGAACTTGCCCCTGAACATGACACAATGAACAAAGGAATCAATTGCAGGAATACAGGAGGGCAAAGGAACCACATGACTAGACAGGAACCATGACTAAACTCCAAAATAAAAGACATGAGAGCAATGAACAAGAAACACAAACAAAACCCAAACCCCACGTTACATATCCCCCCCCTCTAAGGACGGCTCCAGACGCCCAAACAAAACCCAAACCTAACAAGTCCAGGAGGGTGGTAGAGTGAAGGTGGAAACATCAATACACGACAAGAGACAAAGGCTACATGAGGGCTATATATACCCAACAATCAGGGTCACATGACACAATCCAACCAATTAGGAACAAGACACATGACTTGGACACTCAATCAGGGCTGCGTTCAGCCCCGACAAAACAGTGCAAAACGTTTTTTAAACGGAAACGGTGGTGCGTTGAACACCCTGTTCTGTGCAATTATCTGCACCTCAGTATTGCAGTACATTGTAAAACAGTGCACAATAATAACGCATTGAGTGCAAATTATAATTTGAATTCAAATCATTAAATGGATGCCACCTTATTTGGGACAATAAAGCCCTCCCTACACCTGCCCTAACCCTGCCGGTTACTTTATTTTCAACTTTTTGATTATTTCCTTCATTTTTATTGAAAATAAATGCCCTTACGATGTGATATGAGATTTGAAAAGGGAGGAAAAACAAGTTCGGTAAAAGGCGGATTCGAACCCGGGTCGATCGCATCAAAAAGACGATGGTACGTGTTTTACCATCTACGCCACTGACGCTGACGATAGTCGACTATCACGCGTTTGTGGGTGGAGCTAGTGTAAATAGCCTCTGCCAACAAGGCGGGCTATTTGGGATTTGAAAAGGGAGAAAAAAAAGTTCGGCAAAAGGCAGGTTCGAACTCGGGTTGATCATGTCAAAAAGCATGCGCCTTGCCAGCTACGCCACTGGAATGATTTTTGATAAGCGTCTTTTGCACTAGCCCAATCACCCATTGGTGGGCGGAGTTAGAATAAATAGCCTCTGCCAACAAGGCAGGCTATTTGCACTTAGTGTAAATGGACACTCCATATTTATTAAACTAACAAATAACTGGTTATACCACTACCTTTTCTTAT